ATGATCATTTTAACATGTATGATTTTAATAAGGATTATACAGTAACATTTCTTTTATTCAATGCAGACATTACTGGTTTGACATCGGAAGGATTTGAGAAATCAATCATGGTGTTTGTATTAATAATCGGACTACTGGGTTTTGTAAGAATGATGTAAAAATCTGCAGAGTTTTAGAGTTTCGCACTCCGACAATTGTTGCAATCGGGTGCCTTGCATTGCCCGATACTCTAAATATCATCTCATTGTATGTTCACAGATGATCTACTTCGGGGAGTTATGTTAACTCTCAACTTTACGATTACAAAAGACCTTTTGGGATTATGACTCCTTTTTTCCTACGTGAAACAGTGATGAATTGTTCAAATGCAGACATGGTGTACCTTGCTATGATCAGATATTTATTAACAGTCTATCCCTTACAGAGCAAGATACGACTTACTGCTTCAATTATTTTAGTATGCTCTTTAATGATCTTGGTTTATTCCTCACTGTTTTCAGGTTTCATATTAATGATGATATCAACGGGTAGTCAAGATTTATCTTATACTCTTAAAATCATGCAGCGTACATTCATGAATAATCGTGTTCTTTGTGGGTTGCATTCAGTATTTGTAATCATTATTTTACATCTCACAAAGATTAAAGCTCTTGAAAACTCTTCTGTAACAAACAGTATTTTTAAGGGAATGAATGTTATAATTTCCATTGTATCATTAGTTTTTGTTTCCTATCAAATCTCATTCATACTTCTTTATGTTGCTATATTGTATTTCATGTTTTCGTGGAATTGTATTCCCTTGATAATTCAAGCATACATAATTTATACAATAGTGCTATACTTTGTGGAGTGTGGAGTCTTAAACTTCTCTTGCAATCTTCATATTTTCCTTCTTTTTTTTTTTTTTTTTTTTTTTTTTTTGCTTCACGGGTTTTTTCATAAACAAAAGTAATCAAAAACTTAAAATAAATAAATAAGCAGTTGAAGCAATCAGTTTAATTTGATTTTGTTGACAATTTGTATTTCAAATTTTTCATCCACCAATTAACCAAGGGATTCAAAAGCATGATTTTACACACTGAATGTAGACATCTTTCACATAGAAACAGTATTTATGGATATCCGATCCTCAGCCAGGAAGGACAACTCCAAAAATTAATATTTACTTCAAAAAGCATGAATATGAGGCTAGAAAATGGAATCTTTCCAACATTGCAACAATTTTCATCTTATTCATCTTTATATGCATGATTCGAATTTTGTGGAAGTCTTAGAAAAGGTCTTATAAAAAGTTAACATGTGTACCCCATAAAAAGAAACAAATTAGACAGGTTTAGAAAGGAAGATTTTCTTGATGCGAGCCACCGATACCAATGCATATTAGTATGAATTGAAATGAGAATTTCTTTGTGATGTCTTAAAATGATAGCAAAAGCTTTTTACACTATTAATTATATTATGCATGAAGGAATTATAAGACATAGAATATTAAATAAGTTTACAAATTATGAAAATTTCTCTGAATGCATGGATACATATTGTTTTCTAACCTAAAATATATTTGTCGATCAATTTGCAATTAGAAAATGCATAGCTGATATTGCTTTTCGCTTTTTCTGAATATATATCGGAAATTTGACAATTTTCCCTACGTAATATCATTAACTTTATTGTTTAACTTTAAATTTGTGGGTTAATTTACATTACTTTGTGGATTTAGAGATATTTTTTGAGTATTTTTGATTATTCATGTGCTTATTTTATTAACCTGAGGATCGGATTACCTTAAAGTAATTCTAAAAACATTGACATAGAACTTCTTGTTTCTAAACAAAAAAATTACTTTAGTATTTTTCAATTCATAGGATTGGCTTAATGAATAAAACTTCTGCATTTAATTACATGTAAATACATTTTTATGAATATTGCAATATAACTTATTTTAGACGATTTAAAATAATTTTACACTTTATTAACACCGAATTGAAAATAGGTAAAATTACTCTGCGTTCCTTATAATTTATTTTCAGTACTAGTGTAGATAATACTTAAGTTTTTCCTCTAAAAATGGCTTCAAACTGGGCATATTTTAAAAGGAAAGTCAAGCGGGGAGATACATTTTTGACGTAACATTTTTTTAAGTAGGCAATGTATATTATAAGATACAATATCAATATTTTATCCAATCAAATGACGTGTTTCCACTAAAATCAAATTATGTACAGAATATGAAACTTACAATTTTAACTCGGTTTTCGATGAATATAATAGAATAATTTTTTTAAAGAAAAAATAAACTCAGTTCTAACCTTGCATTAATTATATTGATGAAAATCTCATTACTATACCCAACAACTCATGTGACAAACCTAATTTGGAAAGCAATAGTCCTCAATGTGTATTTTATATGTATTTCACATATCAAATATTAAGAAAATACGTTTAGATGGTATACTTAGTTAAGAAAGTATTATAAAACAAAAATAGCCGATATTTCTATTGCGCACACAAAGTATACAATAACAGATCACAGATCAGAAGCTCAAATGTATAGATGTAAAGTAGATATATTTAATTCAAAACTAGAAATTATTTGTTTTTATTTTTAATGATACTTTTATAAGTAGAATATTCAAATTATATTTCTTTATCTCACTGTAAAGGTTACTTCTTTAAAAAAAATAGAGGGACGGGGTTGCAGTTACATGATTTTTTTCAATTCTTGAAGTATCCACATTTACTCAACTGAGAAACCCAAAAACTTAACCCATTTTCACGATAATGTTATTTCCTACATTTAAATTATGTCCACAGAATGTCTACGTTCAGAGTTTAAATAATATGATTATCTCTAATTATCTACAAAATCTTTGACAATGCGCGCCAGCATTGTTTAAATGCACTAATTGTATGATTCTTGAATGGTAAAGTATTACATGGATATTTACAAAATGTAACAACTAAAGTGGCGAAAGTTTCAGATCCGTATGAGCAACATTTTGTTAAATGTGAACTGTTTGAAGAAACGTCCAATTCTATTGTGGACCGTGTAAAATAAGACTTTGTGTGAAATGCGTGTCCCCTCATCTCGAAACGAATGCACCTAACCACAATATAATGTACCACTACAAAAGATATGAGGGTACAGCAGAACCTCTTCACCACACGGTAACAGGCACCATACGCTGCGGATTTCGTGCAATTCACTGTATTAGATATGCTGGCTACAGCCTGATATTTGTTACTTCGTTGGAGTCTTATAATATCATTATTTGTCGTTCCAATGCCAACTTAGTTATTCATTTGGTTTTTTATGACCCCAGTGTTACTGCGACTGATAAGAATGGGAAATATCGCTTTTCTTACTCTCCGGAGCTTTCTTGCTCTCCACCAATTGATCTATTTTGCGATTCATGCTTCCACATTATCATAGCGGCTGTTGGTAAAAATACATGATTTAGACGAGGATGGTACCTTCCTTAGATACCTGGGCTATGATGGGATGAAAAACCTTGCAGTGTAAAGCATTGACAGCGAAGACAATTTATTTGTTTATGATATGCATGACAATTACATAAGAATTCTTAATTATCTGTACTAAAACGTTAACATTGTAATTAGTGGTAGAACAAAATATCCATAGGAAATTCATTTGTCCTTGATAATTCAAACAGAATTAAAAACATGTTTATTATAAAGTTTTATACATGTATTTATGTCTATGTATATACACTGTATCTTTGTTGCAGCCATTTTTTAAATACATTCTTCGGATTTACCTCTGTTCTTACATTCCTATCTTTTACATGTTATACCTAAGATTTATCTTGCTCCTTGAATAATAGGGCACCAAGAATGTGCGATTAATTGTGTTTCTTATTAAATTAGGACATTTTTGTGCGGTCTGCAACGGTTCACTTGTCATTTTAAGTTTTATTTTCTCTTACTTCATGGTCTTTTAAATATTGCAATGTTTAGAATCAGATTCATTTTTTTAAACACTCTTTATATTTTTCAATTTTCTTTTGTGTAAGCTTTGAAAACAATGTCCAGCTGGCTCTGATTCGGACCGTGCAAAATATGATTTTTTGTAAAATTTGTGTTCCTTCATCTAAGAAGGAACGCTCCAGAACTCAACAGTAATTTTTATCATAAACGATTTAAGGCGATTATAAAATCTCTTCAAGATCCCCAGATACTGAGGACCATGTATTGTAGATATCACGCTATGTTCCGCATTAAATATCCCGGAAACTGCCTAATTTGTGTTACTTAGAGTGTGTGGTTCAATGATGATTAGGAGGACTTTCCGCTAACACCTACAAGTTTGGTCATGTATCTCTCCCCCGTGTCGTGAGCAAAGGAACTTTGCAAATAAGAAAAAAAAGGCACTCAAGACGAAAAAAATATTTTCACCAATTGAAGGAGATTTGATAGGCATGAAATTCATGCAAACTGATCCAGATCTATCTGCAACTCTTCCAATCCTGAATCTGAAAACTTATTGATTTTTTTTATTACTTCATTTTGGTATTTTTTTTCTTTTGAGACTTGAAAATAAAAGCCAAATTAGATGCCCTGCAAGGGATCAGACATATTTTTATTTGCTTTGGCTAAGAAGACTATTATACAAGTCAAATATTGTAATTCATAATGCTAGTATCATTTTTATTGTATAGAGGAGATAACGCTGAATATAAAATATCTTAAGCATTGAGAAATTGGTCTCCCATTGCATATTTTAATCTTAATTCTAACTAAGCATTAAAAAAGACTTCTACATATATAACAATTTGGGGGAAAAAATTCTATCCTGCGAAGCATAAAAACGTCTCCTTCTTTAAATACACCTACTCTTGTTTGCACAATAGAGTTTTTATATTTGATAGTTTCTTGCTTAATCGATTTTTCTTCACTGTCTATTTTAAATAGAACTTATGAGTATCTAATTTGAAAGCAGGTCGATTGCACGGAAAATTTCCCATAGTAAAAATATTAAAATGGCGGTTGCTCCTGATCCCAGCGGGCAACATTTTGTTACGTGTCAGCTGTGTGAAGACAATGTTCAATTCTACTGCAGACCGTGCAGAATAAGACTTTGTGTAAAATGTGTGTCTCCTCATCTGGAAACTAACGCACCGGACCATAATATTGTGTATTATCACAAACGATTTTGGACGACAACAAGATTCCTTCACGATCCACACTTAGTGAAGAACATACCTTGTGGTTGTATCGCGATGCTCTGCATTAGATACACCAGTGATAGACAGATTTTCGTAATTTCGCACGGTTCGTCGGATATAAATCTTGTAAATACAGACGGAACTTTAGTCAGAACTTTTTCTCCGGAAAGATTACTTCCCAATTTGACCCCTTATAAAGACGGTGCGTTATATACAGACAAAGAAGGAATAAGAAAAATTAACAGTAAAGATGATAAACTATTTATATCAATTCATGGGGAATTGAGAGGAATTGAATTTATGGAACCTAATTTCATATTTGTCTGCAACTCTTCCAAGGTTGAAAAATATACAACTGATGGTAAAAGACTTTTGAAAATTGAATACGACGACAAAGGAGATCATATTTATAAAAATCCTACAAAAATATCTATCAATGGAAATGGGGACATTTGTGTGGCTGAATATGCAAGAACCGATGTCCTTATTCCTTCGGTTACAGTGGTAGATAATTGTGGAAAATACCGTTTCTCTTATGGTCTAGAGCCTAAAAGTGATTATTCCTGCATGATGGATCTGTGCTGTGACTCCTGTTTTCACATCATCATAGTCTGTGATAAAATACAAGTGATAGACAAAGATGGTAACTTTCTTAGATATCTGGTGTATGATGGGATAAAAAATCCTTTGAGTGTGACCATTGATAATGATGACAATTTATACGTTTCCGAATTGTTTGACAAATACGTAAGAGTGTTAAAATATCTGTACTAATTAGTTCTTAGCAGTGCTCCAACATTATTCAACATAATATTTGAACATTCTTGTTATTGCGCTCATTAAGTGTTTCATAAATGATATTAATTTTATTTTTTATTAAATTATTCAAATACATATTCATTCATCCCCGTTATATATGTATATGTTCAGTATTTGCAAGTTTTTAACTAAAGCTTTTCTTTGAAAAGAGAAAAAGTCCTCCGGCAATTTTGACATTCCTAGGGTTGATAAATTATTTTAAATAAAGCAATCAATAAGTCTTCACTGGTATTCTATAATTATGACAGTTGAGTTAACCAAATGTGGATACTTAAGATCCAGAGAATTTTTATAGAAATCTGAAATCACAAAATTATTCCAAAATCAATAGCATCAAAACCTATGACTTTTCAACACTTTATTTATAGAATCTTTAACTTAATATCGGCAAACTGATCTCGTTAAGAAACACATACTGAATCTGGCAACATACGAGTACTCAAAGGTTGATTTTTAAACATGTTCAAGTATGCTTTAGTTTATCATAGACAGTGTTCATTTAGTTTTCATAGTCCTGGCCCCAGGACTATTAACTAAAGATAGATTAAAGTCAAAATTTCAATCAATAAACATTTTGAAATAATTTCGACAGTGAAACAATAATTTAATCTCAAGCATAGTCTTCTTTATATACCTTTCCTCATGTATACACAGCAGAATATTCACAGGATTTTATGGAGAATAGCAGCCGGTGTTACCTTTTTTTCTTAAAGCCCGAGATAATAAGCACCGCCTTCAGATTTACCTGGTCTGTATTCCCCTGTCAATCAAATGAATTAAAGTCCATCACTGGGTACTTAAAATTGATTGACATTTAGCTACTAGTCCCTGCGTACAACTCTTTCACCTTGTTTTGATACTCGTGGCCATCATCAAATTAACTTTTGGTCTTCTTATGTTTACCGCTAAATTACCAGAACAATATATTAGGAATCCATTTTTATTCAAGCAATTTTAGCTTGATTATAATTGATTTTAATTATCTGTATCACAAACATGTCATTGAAAAATGAAAATCATCTCATAGTGTTTCAATAAAATAAATCAAGATTGTGTGTAATTTTTCATTAATGAAAAATGCATAGGTGATTGAAATTTTGTCTTCACTCGTAAAAGATTCTTGTTTTGAGTCACGGCGAAAAAATTTCCGGGTACGATGAAAATAAAGGAGAAAATAATATAAACTGGTAATGAATAGTAAAGATGAAAGCAAAATATCTTATTAGAAACAACTTAGCCTGTACAAATATTAAGACTTTCCCTCTTTTCTTTTCATTTTTTATAACCGCGCATTTCTTACTACGTGGGCTGTTCAAGCTAGGTCACGGGTGTTAGAAATAGTTTCGAAAGAAATACACAAGATAGCAATAACTTAATATTTTGTTTTTAGTTATTCTATTATAATTTAGATTAACTTCTAATTCACACACACCTGTATATAATATTAACTTCTTGAACCATCGTTTATGCTAATTTTTCACAATAGGACACCTTTGCTAAAAATAGGACCACGCGACTTTTCATACAAACGGGAAGGAACTGTCACTACTGACCGTGATCAAAGTTCTATGCTACTAAATTAACGATAATTATAAACATTTCTTAAAATATAGAAAGGGACAGACAAGGATGAATATTTTACATTTGAAACTGTACCTGTATTTCATTATTTTTTTTTTTACAATGAACTCAACTTATTGCTGCTGTGACGTGCAATGTAAGGTACATACCGTAGATTTTAAAAAAAGTCGGCCGATAGAATTTCTTCTTGATATATTAGATATAAGTCTGAAAATTAATGAATTTTGCAAATATCATTTTATTACTAATGATATTTTTTATTTATGATGTCGAGATCTTTTAATTTTATGATGAAAAGTAGACCAAACAAGCTGTACAGGTAACACTCATAGACTTCCTGTGTATACTGTTTGTGTGTAGGGATTGGCGTTCTCCATGGTCTGCACGACCATCAATGCCTCGGGGTGCCAAGCATGTAAAATTTAGTCCCCCCCCCCTCCTTACCTGAGAAAACCGTACGGTTAAAAATCTCGGCCTTTAAGTATCTCCAGTAAAACACATTGTTATATTCAATTTAGTGCATGTCGATTGCGATGAAACTTACAATTCGTATAAAATGAAAATGGCAGTGGCTCCTGATCCAATATTTATTTTGATATGATTCACACTTTGTACGACCCTCGAGCCATCGATACTTAGCAGATATAATATGTTGTGGATTTTGGAATAATATATTTTCTATGTATCATTTCACTTTTCTCGAATTATAAACGCATTCTAAGATCAAAACATTTTCTGTTATAAGCACTTCCCCTCAGGTATTGACAAAATCTAACAAAAATCAATATTTTAAAGGTAGATACTGTATAGATTGTGAAAAGTTTTCCAATAATGACGATCTTACGTCTCAAACAAAAAGACATGTAAACATGTAGAGGAAATACAGACATAACATCATAAATACATTCACAACAATAGGGAATAGTTCCAATTTATAATAGTGAAGATTTTCCCTAAAAGAAAATTTACAGTTTATATATAATTATGCAGAAATTTTCGCGAAGATTTAATTTTAACCATTTTATTGTTGGGATCACTAAAAACTCACATATTACTAACATTTTATTGCCATTATTTTATTTTAAACAAATTACATTTCTGTTACCTTTCCATGCAACAAGTTTCCAAAATTACTTTTCACTAAAACTGACTTTGAAGGACAAATTGTTGAAGCTGAAGTATCGTTAAAAATACCACTTATATATACGGTATGTTACAGTTTATATTCACAACGTAAACAAACTGAAACTCTCTCTCTCTCTCTCTCTCTCTCTCTCTCTCTCTCTCTCTCTCTCTCTCTCTGAGAAAAAGACGCTGCGGGGTAAATTTACTTGTACCTCCCGAGAATATCACTGATACAGTCTTTACGAATCCTAGAAAACGGGAATATTAAAAAAAAAATAGCAGAATTCTGCAGGATAAATTTTATCAAAGTAACGTTGATGATAAAATGATATGTCTACAGTTATTGAAAGCAAAAGCAACGATCTTAAGTTGATGATAGCAATGCTTTATGGAGTGAATAGGGTTCGCTCAGGGTCCGCTACGGGTTTGCTCGGGGTCAGCCCTAGTAGACCCCGAGCAGCCCGAAGCGGACCCAGGGAGCGAACCTTGGGTCCGCTCCGGGTCCGCTTTCTGTTAGGTTGTGTGCGGTCGGTACTGTATGTATCTCTGTTACAACCATTTTTGCTCCTACATCCCTATCTTATACTTAAGATCTGTTTATCTTGCTCCTTGGATAATACAGCTCATAGATCGATCTTTTTGATAATGCAATGTTCAGGATCAGATTATTTAAAAAAAGCTCTTCACAATTCTCTATTTTCTTATGTGTAAGCTTTGTGAAAACATGCACAGTTAATTCTGTTGGCGACCGTACAAAGTATGACTTTATGTAAAATTCGTGTTCCTTCATCAAAGAAAACGTCATTCAAGACGAAAGCAATATTTTCACCAATTGAAGGAGATTTGATAGGCATGGAATTCATGCAAACTGATCCAGATCTATCTGCAACTCTTCCAAAGTTGAAAATCTTTCAATTTATTTTTTTTTTAATTCTTCAGTTTTTGTATGTACTCTTTTTTTTGAGACTTGAAAATGGAGTAAGACTCGTTTTTTTCTTTAATTTGTTTTGACTTGGAAGAATTATACAAGTCATTATATACAAAACATTATAATGCATAATTTATCATTTTTAATTATCTAGTCTCCCATAGCGTTTCTAAATTCAATTTCCACTATGCATTAAACAGACTTCTACATATATAACAATCTAAAAAAGAAATCATTATTTCATTTCTGCCCTGCGAAGAATAAAAGAAGTTTCCTTCTCTATATGTATGCACAACAGAGCATTTAAAAAAAGATTTAAGGAGAAATAGTGTTGGCTTTATAGATGTTTCTTTCTTTACGATCGATATTCAGTAGAAATAATGAAGGACGAATGATACAAATAAACTTATGTCAAAAAATGAAAATAACAACTTGGGTCATGTTTAATTGATTAGAAAGAATAGGTTTCACCGTAAAGTTTCAATTTTTTTCTTCAAAATTTCACAAAAATGGGATTTGAAATGAAAAAATATTTGTATAGATGAATAGGTAGGTTCAGAAAAGCAGACTTTTGCGCATCACAGAAGGTTTACAATTTCTTTCTATTCTAGAACTTTGTTATTTCCATCAGCTGCTTCTTCAATAAAAATGGAACTCGTAAATTTACTTACCTTGTCATTTGGTCATTTGCAAACTTATTTTATTAAAAGAGATTCTGATTGCACACATAAGTACTCTGAAGTTGACATCAAAAAGATACTTGAGTTTCTGATTGACAATATCAATGTGGTTTTTAAAGATACGGAGTATATATATATCTCAGTTGATTCGATACACAAGAGCATGCTCTACGTATGAACAATTTTTTAAACGTGGTAGATTATTGACAAGCAAGTTGATGAAACAAGAATATCAGCAGTCTCGTTTAAATTCATCATTTTGTAAGTTCTATGGTCGATACAATGACCTGTCAGCAAATACAATTTATCACTGAGTCAAATGCTGACTGACTTTTTTCATACCAATTGTTAGTCCATTATTTATACACTGAATTGACGATGGATTTTTTTTCGTTATTTCCTGATCGTGTCAAGAAACATACGGTGGGTGTGAGCGGTCGGCAGGGGATGCTCACTCCTCCATGGACCCTGATTCCACCTCTGATGTTTGCTTTGCTCTTATTTTGTATTGTTTTATGGACTTTGAGATTGAATACTGTTCGTTATCTCCATATCCTTCTTGCAATGAAATTAGGTAAAAAATATAAACCGACCCAGGCATCCATTTTTGTTTTTATCTTGTCCTTAGTAGTATTTGATTTAAGGACAGATTTCATTGAAAATGATGCAAATAATATATTTCTAGAATATAAAGAAATTGTTAACCTTCTATGATGTTCAAAAATCTGCCTCTCTAGAAACTTCCTTATTAATCTATACAAATGTTTGTCACTTCAAGTTCCTTTTTTGTGAAAATTTAACTAAAAATTTAAAAACTACGCAGCGAAACTTGTTCATTTTATTCATTAAACCATGACTCAAGTCGTTTTTTTTAAATATTTTGACAAAAGTTTGTTTGTATCATCTGTCCTTAAAAGCAAGTCGATTGTACGGAAACTTTCACATCGTTCAAAGTTAAAATGGCGATGGCTCCTGTTCCACGCAGACAGCATTTTGTTACGTGTCAGCAGTGTAATGACAATGTTCAATTGTATTGTAGACCTGCAAACTAAGACTTTGTGTCACATGTGTATCTTCTCATCGGGAAACTAACGCACCGGACCATAATATTGTGTATTATCACAAACGATTTTGGACGACAACAAGATTCCTTTACGATCCTCACATAGTGAAGATCATACCTCGTGGTTGTATCGCGATGCTTTGCATTAGATACACGAATGAAAGACAGATTTTTGTAATTTCGCACTTTTCATCCTATTTAAAACTTTTTAATACGGACGGAAATTTAGTCAGACCTTTTATTCCGGAAAGATCATCCCTCCATGTAACCCACATAAAGACTGTGTATTGTATACAGATAAAGATGGTATAAAAAAAAAATAACAGTGAAGGCGATATATTACGTACATGTATATCATTTCATGGGAAATTGAGAGGAATTAAATTTTTGGAAGAAGGTTATGGAGATAACGAACAGTATTCAATCTCAAAGTCCATAAAACAATACAAAACAAGAGCAGAGCAAACATGGACCTACGAAACATCAGAGGTGGGATTAGGTGCCATGGAGGAGTGAGCATCCCCTGCTGACCGGTCACACCCGCCGTATGCTTATTTTCATGATCAGGAAATAACGGAAAAATCCATCGTCAATTCAGTGTAAAAATAATGGACTAACAATTGGTATGAAAAACGTCAGTCAGCATTTGATTCAATGATAAATTGTATTTGCTGACAAGGTCATTGTATCGACCATAGAACTTAACGTAATGATGACTTTAAATGAGACTGCTGATATTCTTGTTTCATCAACTTGCTTGTCAATAATCTACTTCGTTTAAGAAATTGTTCATACGTAGAGCATGCTCTAACGTATGGAATCAACTGAGATTTATACACTCCGTATGCACGTGATGAAGGTATATTGCAACATAAGTGTGGGAAGTTGACGATAGAAAAGTTAAAGTCGTTATCATATAACTTGGTTGTTAGGTTACCATTAACGTCCTTTTCAAGTAAAAACTTCCAGTTTGAAACAGATGTGTCAGACTCTGTGGTATCTTTTATCTCAAGCTCTCCTGGATATATCGTATCGACGTAGGAATGGACATTACCATTGTTAATTGACAATACGTCGTAGATATATCTTAAGGTCGAGTTGTAGGCCACAATAAGTGTTTTCTTCATTTTACGCATAAGATTTTGCATAAATTCTGCTTTATATGAATATAAAATAGGTCTGCTAATAACGGAGCGCAATTGGTTCCCATAGGAATTCCAATAGATTGTTCGAAGACCTGGTCTCTAAAAACAACATAGATATTGTCAATCAGAAACTTAAGATGTCAACTTCAAAGTACTTGTGTGTGCAATCAGAATCGGAACCTAATTTCAACTGCATCTTTCCCGACCATGGCTGAAAGGTATACAGCTGAGGAAAAAGACTTTTGTATATTAAATACAACGACAAAGTATATAGTATTTATATCAATTATCTGACAAAACTTTTACTCAATGGAAATGGGGATATTTATGTGGCTGAGGATGCCAGTGACTATGCGAATAACTCTGCAGTTACAGTCGTCGATAGTTGTGGAAAATATCGCTTCTCTTGCGCTCTAGGGCCTAACAATTTACATGGTAGATCTTGTGCTGTGACTTGTGTCTACATATTATCATATTTTGCAGTGCAATACACCTCATAGACAAGGATGGTAACTTTCTTAAATATTTGGAGTTTGATGAAAGTGATAAAATTCGAGTGTAACCATTGACAGGAAGGACATTCTTCCTTTAAGGAGTTTAAAAGGTAAAGTACAAAGAATAACATTATAAAACACATTGAAAACAAACGTTTAAAAAAAACTAATAAGAAGCTCAGTTTCTTAAGCCAAAAAGTCGGCGTTCGTGTGTACTTTATTCAGTGTTACTAAAATCAATTTGAGTACGTTATGTCCATTGTATTGCAAACTTTTCAGTGGCTTTCTCTTAATTTCAACATGCGTGGGACTTCAGTAAAAGCAATATATTGTGTCAATTAAAAAACTTGTATTGAATTTAAAAAATAATTACAGTGTATATTTTATAATACATGTATTTCAAAATGTTCATATTTAAAACGTCCGTTGTAAATTTTGCAGGGCGTTATCGGAGTCTTCACAATGTGAAACGATGATAGATAGGAAAACGTAAATGATTAAAATCTGGAGTTATAATGTAGGTCGAGTGCACCAGTGGCATGCTATACGTCACTGATTACACAGTCTACAAGTAAGATGGCGGAGGGTCCTGATCCACGAGGACAACATTTTGTTACCTGTCAGCTTTGTGACGACAATGTTCAATTCTACTGTAGGCCGTGTAAAATAAGACTTTGTGTAAAATGTGTGTCTCCTCATCTGGAAACTAACGCACCGGACCATAATATTGTGTATTATCACAAAAGATTAGGGACGACAGCTAGGTCTCTCCACGATCCCCAGATCAATGGAACAATATTATGTGGATATCATGCGATGCTCTGCATACGATATGCCGGTAAGAGCCGTATATTCGTAAGTTCGCATGTTTCGAGAGATATTAAGCTTTTTCATACAAATGGTACTTTGTTAAATACGCTTACACCCAGTTCTTTAGCGATGTATTTGACTCCATATGAAGACGGTGTGTTGTATACAGGTACTGGAGGAATAAGAAAAATCAATCATGACGGTGATCAATTATTTTTACCATTAGAGGGGAATCTAACAGGCATTAAATTTGTAGAACCTAACACAATATATGTCTGCAAGTGGTCCGAAGTTGAAAAGCGAACCACTGGAGGTAAAAAGCTTCTAAGTATTAAATACAACGACCAAGGGGACGGAATATATGGAAATGCTGAAAATATTTCAATAAATGGAAACGGGGATATTTGTGTAGCCGAGTATGATGCCGCCGGGAACATCGACTCTTACATTGGAGTTACTGTGGTTGATGAGAATGGGAAATATCGCTTCTCATACTCTACAAAACCTCCCTCTTGGCCAATGGACCTTTGTTGTGACTCGGATTTCCAAATAATCATTGCTTTTATATCGAGCACAATACATGTAATAGACAAAGATGGTCACTTTTTGCGGAAACTGGAATATAGTGGAATTGATAAACCTTGGAGTGTGACCATCGACAATAGAGACAATCTCTTTGTTTCTCAAATGCATGACGATTTTTTGAGAATGGTGGCATACATGCACTAATCACTTTTTTAAATTTTAGCAGTACAAGAACATCTATTCAGAAAAATATATATAATTCATCTTATTAACAGTGATTTATACATGTAAAACATTTTCATTAATTCATATATGTCTTTTGTTGAAAAGAAAAGTCAATAAAATCTTTCATTCACCAATTTTTTTCAATATTTTTGTTTAAATTTTTAATTCATGTAACATGCCAAATGAATTTCAATTAAGCGGATAAAATCTGACTTAGGTCTTAAAGGAGGGTAATACAAAGTGTTGCATTGTTTTAATAAACTACCTACCATCCCATTCCATTACTCAAGTTGAGCAGTTTGACTGGTCCCATACCAGTCACCCGGATAATCAACGCATCTTGATAAGTGAATGATATCTGAAAAATGTCCGTGAATGATGCAATACACATGATATTGCAATATTATATTTTTTCCTCCGAATAACCACGTGCACTGGCATGGTTATTTAATTGAGTATTTATTGATAGTTTTGAAAATTTTAAATTTTATAAACAGGCCAATTTAATAACAATATTTACGTTTTAAGTTTTTTTTTTGGTTTTGTTTTAAACGAAACGCAAGTGTACATTATGAAATATTTATGACACATTAAATGTTTGCATAGCAGGCTGAACTTATATAAACCTACAATAAAGTTTTAAAAGATACAATATACAATGTCAAGTTGAAGTACATTGTTGTGGATTGAAACATCAGCTTTCCTGCTTGAAAAATCTACAAACGGATGTTTAATCATTTGTTTTCCATAGAATGCATCAATATATATTCTCCACTTGAATATCTAAAGACCACATGTCCTTCAACAAAGCTAAGTTGATAGTCGTCTAGAAGAATTAAAGAATAAAGTTGTAATTTCGAACGATAGACATCGATCAGAATTCTGCCTTACAATTAAGTTCATATCAATTGAAGAAAGAATTCGCGGTTTATAAAGCTTCAACTGCCCCAAGTCATGTTATATCGTATAACATAAGTTGAAATAAGCTTCATTCCTTAAATACATTAGAAGTTGAAAAAATATCTTTGTGAATGTTTTTAATTCGATAAAGTTATAGGTGATTTAGAGTGTAACATATGTTTTGGGACACCCTGTATATAGTATATAGTATATCTATTTCAGGAAAGATTTCGGCTCTAATATAAATATAAGAAGTTTTAAAAATTATAGGAAGAATACTGGAGTATATGCTATTTGGGTTGCCATGGCAACCTTCTGCACACTGGTCATAAAAAGAGCACAAATAACAAAATATTGACCGATACGCACGTGAAAGGGTTGATGTAAAATACTTATTATTTTAGCTGGATTTTGAGACGTTTTGTATTGTCAAAATATTACAAACAAAACTATATTTTTAAAAATTTTAAAACAAAGATTAACCGACTGTTTTCAAGAAGAATGTGATGCTTTTTTCTCTTCGTCTTCAAAGTGTTTTGTGTATAGATATTTAACAAATAAACTGTGCATGCAATCCTATTTAATGAAACCAATTCCATCCAAGTATATTCAATTGATTACAAAATAAAGATTAAGCGCATATTTATTAATGATTGAGAATTTTTAATGGAAGATTCACTCATATTCCTAGGGAGAATAGATTTTGTTTTTGTTGCCAGATGGAGGTTGAAGATGAGTATCATATTTTATTTTAAAAATGTCCACTTTATCATGAGTATACAGGAAATTGTATATTAAAAAGTATTATTGGTATAGACCTAGCATGTATAAACTATTACAATTATTATCAACTGAAAATGTGAGTGAACTTTGTAATATGGGGAAATTCCTCCAAAAAGAAGAAGCACTTACAGATTCTACATGAGACTGTAAACTGAGTTTTTTTTTTCTCTGTTTGGTTGTAAATATTGTATACAAGCAATATTAACTTAAAAGAAGTGTATGTAAATATTTCATTTATGTATATTCGTTCTGTGCTTTACATCCTGTATTTTGTAATTATGTTATCTGATAAGTCTTATGACTTAAGGAATAAATAAACAAACAAACAATATTGTCAAATTGTTTTATCTTTCGTGCTTGGTTTGATCAACAAAAATTGGGATCGATGATCTAAAATTGTTCATATAAAGAAACGGAGAATGAAGAAACATTTCCTCTTATAGAAAAACCGAGCTTCAAAATTCACTGATAAATAAACTTAAATTTGTTTGGACAAAAAAAAGTACAATGTAGTAAATGCTTTGTAAAAAAAATCGAGGGGGGGTGATTAAGTGCATTCATTTTTCTATATCTACGATTGCTTCTATGGAAGATCGTTCACATAGGTGAAAGTGAGGGGGGATTATTCCTGGTACTGATTACACGTAACATTTATACATAACGGAAACACGATGGAAAATCATTTAATTTTAATTTTTTTTAAATAGAAAATACTCGCATTGTGAAATCTTTAGTTTTTTGCCCAAACTAAATCACAAGACATATTTTAAATGCGAAAGTAATTTTGATTTTTGATTTGTCTATAATTTAAATCAAACTGTTACTTAAAAGTGAACATTATGTTTCGCAGCGGCCTGGTGCGCGTTTTACAAAAGAACTTAAAACTAAGACCAAAAACTTCAGATTATTGTAAAATTTTGCAAAATTAATAATTCTCTTTAAAATTGTATGTGTAAAAATATCTTACCACATTCCTTTTAAAAAGTTAAAAATAATTTTCGATATAATTCTAATTAAAAAGTTATATGAAGAATTAAATTTGGTCTTAAGTCGTAAGTCCTTTTGTAAAACGGGCCAGACGTAAGTAGTATAAGGAGCCTAGATGGCTGGGTCAACTGAGTGCACTTTTGGGGCTGGGGGGGATAGCTGGGTCAAGCTAGTGCAGTCCCTGGGGGGATAGCTGGGTCAAGGGAGTGCAGCCCCTGTGGGGGGATAGGCGGGTCAAGGGAGTGCAGCCCCTGTGGGGGATAGCCGGTTCAATTCAGTACATAGAGCCCCCTAAATACGGGGCTGTGTTTACACTGTGTTTACATTATACTCTATACGCTGCTA